TATATATATATATATATATATATATATATATATATATATATATATATATATATATTTCCAGGTGAAAAATAGAGTTAAGGTGAGAAACACAAAAAAAGATCCCCACCATTGAATGCAAATTAGGATGAGATGCACCGAGATGCATCAAATCAATTAATCCATGTATCAAACGTGATTCATGAGTGAGTTTTGAGATTAAAGGTGATCAAAGGTGCAGATCCCTCCTTATGTTTCTCGACTTAACTCTTTTTCTACCGAAACCCGATCTTGTGTGTATATATATAGGGGACCTTCTTCTGAGAACCCATGAAATTGTGATAACCTTGGGAACTAGTGCATCATGTGATATTTCATATGATTTTTTTTCATTTAATAGTAAGATTTTTTAATATTGCTTATCATATATTTGTTTCACAATGTGAACCTTTTGAGCCTATTTGTGAAACAAAAGTTACGTGTAAAAAGTTTCAAATTTTGAACCGCTTACATATGAAGCAAACACATTGTGAAACAAATATATGTTAATCAGTATATCAAATGCTAGCCTTAGATTGAAAAATCATGTGAAACAATTACTTAAGAGAATAGTTCACATGGTTATCACAATATATGGAGTTCTCAAATTATTAAGCTCCTATATATATATGTGTGTGTGTGAGAGAGAGAGAGGGGTTCAAATGAGAACAGCTTCATTTTACAAGATTGCAAGAACATCTTTATCACATATGATAATACACGTGAAGCAACCTAATTGTGTCCAGACGGCGTGTCCAACGACTTAGGTCGCGCCAAAGGTCATCTATAATTTTGTATCACATCAAGAGCACCCTTATCACATGTAAGGGGGTTTACTGGTGTAAGGGTGATAAGTTTTAATTTATTAACCTTATGTGCACTAAATTTACAACATTTTACGACTTTTCACTTCCCCATGTGAGTCTTTTTATTCTTTTCTTTCTTAATTTTGTGTTTTATGGAGTTTTGTGCATAACAAATGAATCCTATTTATTTTGTATAACTAAAGGGGCCAAAAATCTCATTTTATGACCAATCATTTGAATTCCTAGAGGACCTCACATAGACAGTCATACAGGATGTTGTCGGACCAGATAATGGGCCTTGGATGCTTTTGGGTTTTGCTTTTGGGCGGATTCTTGAAACAAATTTTGAGCTGTTGGGCTACACTTCTTGGGACCCTCTTTTGACAAACTTTGGCCTCTCAAGCAACTTAATGGGTATATAAAGGAACTTAAGCCTCTTTTGTTAGAAGAACATATTAGTTACAATTCTAATTTGTAACTTAAAACACTTTTTCTTCTTTCTCTCTCTAAACTCACGGCTATCATCATTTGTCTTTTAGTTTCAAGTACTTTTGTGTTAACTTTTATGTTTGTTCTTACATTTCAACTTTTAATATTAAATGTTTTGGTATTTTTAGTTTATCTTTTCTACTTGTTATTTTCCATTAATTATCTTTTTTGTTTTACTTTTGGAGACACCATGAAAACGTGACAATAATTTGGATTAAAAAATCCATCGTGGTTCGTGAGTTATTATCTCAAAGGCCGAAAACGTTTAGTTTAAAAGTAAATCATGCAAGTATTTACAATTTGTAACAAGACTTTACGCGCAAGTAATCGTTTTAATCCTTTATTTACTTACTTTAATTTACCGCTTTAATTTTACTTTTCTCATACTTTACTTTCCGTCATTTATTTTATTGCACTTTACTTTACGCAATTTATTTTCCATCATTTACATTTCCGCGTTATTTAATTTTTACTATTTATTTCTAGAAACTTGTAACTTGTGCAACAAGTTTCTTTCTTTACATGAATATTTGCAAAAATTTACTTTATGCATTCTTCCATCTCTGTTATTTATTTTTTTTTGTTCACATCTTTTGCTAAAAAAACAGCGATGATGTGTCGATCGCCTTAGCTTGAGGTGTAATGAAAAATTAGAACCGAGACCAATGTGAAATTGGAAAGGTGTTTTTAATATAACATTTTTATCTAACTATTTATTTTGGGTTAAATATATTTCATTGAATATTACATTAAAAATTAATTACGACTAATTTTATGTACAAAAATGCATTAACTTTCAGATTAAGACAAAAACGATAATCCGAGATAGTATAAGAAGGCTAAAAATAGCTTTAGTACATGACAAGTGTTATACTTATTATACGGTGTAGGATGGTAACACAGTATTGTACTAGGATTCACGGTGTTTAACATAAATGATGTCGTACCGATAGTACGTCGACCTGTGTATCTTCTTGAGAAGTCGTCTGACTCGATAGTTGGATATCTATAACAGGATAATTGTACTAATTAATAATACTATTTGACTATCTGGAAAATGCTATAATATCTTTCTAGTAGATCAGTTGTTTCAGTCCTAATAAACCTTTACATCATTTGCTTCTTTTTATGACTTATTTTCTATGGTTCATAATTAACCAACCAAACAAAAGATTTCTTCAAAATTGTCATCTGAAATCAATTTTTAAAGACCGGACTTTTTGAAAGACTTTACGATCCATCTATGTGGAAACAATATTCGATACTTATACCATTATTACTTGTTACAACACGACAGTTGATTAAGATGTATATTTGCGTCAAGGTCTATTTTTGCATTGAATTTTTAAGATTGCATAAACCAGACAACAAAGGGCGACTTGGTCTACAACCTAGATCGTGTCAGAAGTTATATGCGTCTCTGATTTAACATCAAATATGTATCATATATGATGTAATAATAATATTACATGTGCTTGTCTATAGTAAAAGCATATTCTGCATTCTCATAAAATGAAGGAGTTCTCGTTTGAATCTTATACTCAACAATCATAATTATTTTAAGGGTGACAAGATGAACATCCAACAATAATCAAATTTGGTAATATCCAAAAACAAAATTTGAATTTGTGACCTACATATTATTATTTATACGTAAGAGACCGTTTATCAAATATGTATAAAATAAATGTTTACTAGTAAGAGTCACTACCCTCATTTATCTTATCAGGTGATATTGATCAGTTATCAAAATGGATTGTTTATAGCATTTAATACTTAGTTAATACTTATCGGGTAAGAGTCTTCTCTCTCACTTACCAGGTAAGATTTGCGGTTCTTGTTATGTCTCTTACGGATGAGATTCTCAGTCTTTCTCATGCTCATAAGGTAAAGTAAGCGACCTGCACTAAACACTTGCTAAAAAGAATTTAGTAAACGACCCCTAACATTTAACTAAATCATCGCAGTTAGGTCTACATAAATAACTTGTATTTGGTATATAAATTAATAAGATATGTAAATCACAATAATTAATTTAGAGTCGTCCAATATATTCTTTAGCGCAATTTTGTACTCAGGGTTGGAGACATGAAGTTTATTTACCAACACAAACTAGGTAAATGATTACAAAATAAAAGCAAATCATCTTCACTTATTTTACTGGATAAAATTCTCGATTATTAAAATAGCATAGTGTTTTTTTTAACCGGATAAAAGTCACTACCATCACTCATCAGGTAAGATTATTGATTAGCAAAATGACACAATGGAATTGTTGGTATCTCTTGCCCAATAAGAGGCAATAAATGTTTAGTAAACGACCCCTTACGAAAATGAAAATCTAATCGTTCTTCAATTATTTTGAAAAGCAAAACAAAGTTGAAAACACTACAACACCAAAGTCGAAAACATTTGTGTTGTCTACAACACCAAAAGGGTTCAGTACCATAGTGTCCTCGATTATAAAGGATCGGATGCTGAAAAATATAACCACCTCGGTTGAAATACATTCATTTTGCGTTTATACAACGTTTACCATATCCGATATCCATCTCGGTAATCTGAATTTGATTTCAGTTGTGCCTTCTAAGTAGCTTTTTGCATAATAGAAAATAAGGTATAGAAAGAGAGAAGACTCCAGGAAAAATACTTGAAACGAAACCTTCAAATAAGCATTTTGGATCCAAATTTCAAAATAAACCAAGCCAAACAAATTCAATATATCCTTAGGTTGAGTTAGGGGTATGATGCATGCAAACTTCATCCAGAGAGTAAAACGGTTGTTTCTTTCAAACTTCAAAGTGTGGGTTCTAAAACATAATTTGGGTGTATGAAATTGTTCGAAAATTTGTGAGTACTGTAAAGGGACTGTAATGTAAGATTTCGACCTTAAGATCAAATTATATTCGAGTTTAGAACCATGTTTATGTTATGAATGACAATCCGGAAAAGTGGGTGTCACAATGAATGACAAAATTATAAACAAACAAAAACTTTATGACTTTACCTAAACACTTACCCGGTAAGCACTTACCGGTAAAATTCAACACTATTGCTTACTTACCGGGTAAGATTTTATTCACTAAAACGCATCGTATGCAACAATTTATCCCGGTAAGCGCTAACCATGGTAAGAGTCCTCGTCCTCACTTACCGGGTAAGACTCTCGATTCTTGCCTTCGCTCTTACCGGGTAAGATTTTTAGTCCTCATATTCATCCGGTAAAGTAAAGTGACTTGGTAAGCGCTTACCCGGGGAAGCGTTTGGTAAACGGCACCTAAGTTCTTTTAAACATTAATAATGCAACACTGCCCAGATTATACAACCCTTTTCCAAACTCAAATCGATGGGCAAAAAATCATAATTGCACTGTGACTTTATGACCAACAACATCAAGGCCCCAGAAAACATCCTGGTTTCTAATAACATCATGCCCCAGAAATGTTTAAACATGTCTACCAAGAGCAAGAGAACAATGATTTTTTATTTGCAAACTAACAAAAGCTGTAATCTGAAAAGGAAGCGTGCGGGGTGAAAAACGACCCAAAATTGGGGGAAGAAAAGGAAAAAGAAATTAATGTTGAAGGCTCCCTTCCTGATGCCAAGATGGTAAGTTCCGAAAACATGTGCGTTAAGAGCGGAGAACAACGCACCTTTTTTAGGCATCGAAGTTGATGGGGTCCCGCAAAAACCTCTCCATTTGCTTTGCCCTGGTCTTTATAGACATGTCAAAAACCTTTTGCCCGAATTCCACAACAATCCCGCCAAGAATACTGGGATCAATCTGATGTTCAAATGGAGAAGTGTGAGAAGACATTAAGGGGGTGTCACAGAAGATGAGTTAAGAAAGCATTTTTATTCTCGACATTTAATTCTAGTAGTACTTCCTGAATATGAATTTGACATAATTATAGGTTTATTTTGTTCTTAAATTGTTTATTCGGATGGTTATACTTCATATCAACTTGTTCTCTACAAGCAAAAGTATATTGCAGATCTTGAAGTTAAAAGTAAATACTTAACGCTTACCGTTTCAGATATACCAATGAAAACTAGAACACTTCTGTCTTTGGAAATTTACTGTATTGAAATTACCTACTCGCATTGCTGATATGGATACATAAGGTTCCTCTATGTTGTGTATGTTGAATGATATTTTAGATTTTCTTTTTTTTACCTCTGAAATGGGTTCCAGCCAAATTCTGCAATTTTTGTGAGAGGGAAAAAGTAATTCCTAAATTCAAGAATGACACATAAGTTTTAATCTTTTAGCTCTAACATTGTGTATTGTAATGTTTTCTATATTGTTTCAATTTGTTCTCTACGACTATAACAATTTATTTAGATTTTTCGGTTAAGATGTCCCATTTTAACACTTAAAAGTCAAACATTGACTCGTTTTTTGGAGAAGGTGCCAAGGTATTATAAAATCAAAAGCACATAACCATAAGATGTGGGACAATTTACCTTCTGTTCAAGCTTAACCGTCTTCCCTTTACCAAGAATCTCTTGTAAAGTGCTCTTCAGTTCTTTCTCCTCTTCAGCAGGGAGTGGCTAAACAAAATCAAAGATAGCAATAGCATTATTAGCGAGAGAGGTTGGATCAGCAATATAAGTAGGAAGTCAATAAAGACCAAATCAAGTAAAGTTGCAAAACAAACGGAAAAGTAGAAGAAAAAACTGCTGAAATTATCCAGATTATAAAACTCAATGATGAAGAAGATGACCAAGGTAAGAGTAAACCATAAAGAAGTGATTGCTCTTTTCTATTTCTTGATTCCTTTCATCTGACCGAATAAATGAATGATCACTGAAGCTGTGTATTTTAGAAACCCGTTGAGATCAAAGAACTTAAAACTTGAAAAAATCCAACAAGAATGATAGCAGTTTCTTTCACATGCATAGAAATAATGTATCTGAAAAGAATGTATATGCATACATAGGTATAGGTATCAAACATAGGGGGAGACCAGAAAAAGATGTTAACTTGTTCAAAAAGATGAAGCAGTGCATACAAGCAGGGAAAATGATGCAATAGTTGCGCCTCTACTCTCGACAAAAACCAATATTTAGCCAGAAATTAAGACTTGGTGCTGATTTAGACAAAAAGGTTAAAAGTAACCAAAAATGAAGACTTGATGCTGATGCTGGTATTAAAAAAATGGCTAGAGCAAAACATTTCTTCCGGCAACTTTGATGTTTGAATTTTTAAATGGTAAGCAGCTTACAATGACGGTAGTCACAACAGCTTTGACCTCTCCCCTATGTGCCATGGTCAGGTCTGAAAATCTCTTTGCAATAGTGTCAACATGTCGGAGCCTCCCATTATCAGCCAAAACAACTGATGCAGATCACAAGAAAAAGTAGTCAAGAAGTTAATTTCACAGAAGGAATCTGTCAAAACAGATAAGACATTTTTAGAAAATTCAAACAAGATGCAAATGGAAAAAATGGAGCTGATCAATTTTACAAGATTGTACAGCAGCATAAAAATTTGACCAACAACTGTTTCCAAGAAGAATAACAATTCAGCAGCATAAGAATTTGACCAACAACTGTTCCCAAGAAGAATAAAAATTCAGCAGCAATAACCCCAGCAAAAATCACATCCCACGCAAGAAAATTTGACATAAGAGGGCCAACATGATTTCCCATGTCGCTGGAAAGCTGGCACTTGCTTAATTTTCTTGTTTTCCTTTTATAGGACAAAAGGCACAAGAAATTTATAGACCTCTCTAACCAACCTATAGACAGATCACCAATAATTGAGCGACTTTGGTGAGTATAAAACTCTCTGGAAAGCAATACGATCATTTGACCATAAATTTAAAAAAAAGTTGTGATATGATTTTAGTTTCAACCCAATAACTTTTTGGTACAGGAGTTGGATACAGTTTGACAAGTTTGTCAGAAGACATGAAACAGAAATAACAAATTTGTTCAATAATATTAAAAAACCAGACAATGTGACTCTGATGGAGAATATTTCAAGTTCTTCAGCTAATTAAAAAAAAATGAACATAAAACTATTATCTCCTTGCAATACTACTCTATAATTCCAAATACAAAGAGGCAGTCATCACTAGAATGAATACTAGGAAATCAGAATAGATTGTGCATCTCTACAATCTCAAAAGATATAAAATGGACCAATAAAATACTTCTCCACAAATAAAAGAAAATGCAAGTACCTAATAATAGCGTTAAGATAGCCAAAATAGTTTCCTGCCAAGATTTTGCCAATTCTCTTTCCAAGGTTGCTAACTTAAGCTCCGCAGAAAGATTTTGAATAATATAAGCTTTAATTACCACTCATTCATAAGTCAAAAAACTGAGCAAACCAAGTTCCAGTGGGTTCGGGGAAAAGTTGATTTGATGCAGTTATTTGTTGTTTCTCACATCAGCATATAAGCCAAAAAAACAAATGAAGTTTTAGATGATCGTTGACATGAATCCAAAAACTAGCTGTATTAATGGATCTTCAAACTAACGTTGCCAAAGAGAATCTAGACTCTACAACAAGACTCATAAATGGCCTCGTCTCTCTCTGGTAGTACAAAAACTAAACTACATTGTATCAACTATCAAGGTCGACAATAGCCTTTGTAAAGCCTACATTCCAAGAGCCTTACGTTATAGAACATAGGACAAGTTCTTGGAGCACCTGCCAGGCAGAATGAAGACAGGCAAATCACAGTAACAAAGAAGAAGGAAAAAAAGGGTAAGGTGAATATTGAAGTGTGTGCATTTGGCGATGAAAGACCACATGAGAAGGGCATACGTCAACCATGACCTACATAAGCATTAGTCATGCTTTATAAATTTATACATTTTATTCAATGTCAGCTCAGTTATGATTCGTAGAATAACCATCATACCTAAAAAGTTTTTTGTTACTTCTGAAAATTTAGCTTGATCACAGATCTCAGTGATAGCCTTCACTCTAGTATCTGCTGGCACTGCCAAATCCTTCATGAACTGAGAAAATGTAGGGGATTTCTCGGAAGCGGCAACAAGATCAAGAAGCTCTGATTCAACCTTGTCCAGTGTCTTGGCTTTTGCTGCTGCAATATATAATGCAGACGCGTAATTTCCAGAGCCCCCAAACATAGCCACAGGAACCTGAGTGGTAAAGTTGTTATTGCAAAGAAAGGAAACATGGGATATTAAAACAAGAGAGAAGTTCAATAATCCAAACTAACTTCTAACAATTCGTATGAGGGGATTTAGAAAATTATTGTTCATTTTCAATACTCAGTTAAGGTATTGAAAAACACATAATCCAAGAATGAATGTGGCTACTTCAGAAGCTTAAGGTTTTTACATACAAACCTACAAATTCCCAAACTTCTTGATTACAAACTCACACCACTTTCTGGACAGCGAGCTTTCCTATAGATTTCCTCTTACATCAATCCATGCACCAGAGAGAGAAATTAAAAGGGTGATTCACAAAAAGAAAAATGAAAGGCAGAGCCTCAAAAACATAGGCAATATAGTATAACTCTATTTCACTGAGACTCAAACCATATTATAACAGAAAGAAATAACTGTGGATAAAAGAACAAGCAAAACCCTGAAGAGTGGCCCATAATTCTTCCCAGAGAAAGAAGGTGACCTAAAAAACATACATATGACTGCAGTCCACAGTCCAACACCATAGAATAGAATTAAAATCATTTGACACAGTTTTTGCCACATGATCTTTAGAGATAACACTAAATTGTCCCCCTCTTTCTTCTGCCAGTATAGTAATGCATTATATACTTTGCTGAACCATCAATATATTACCTTAATCTTTGGCTCCTTTGGTGCAGGAGCAGAGGCAAAGTTCCTTGATTGCTGCAAAATAAAATGATCCCTGAATTAGCAAACGTCCAATAGACAATGTAATTCATATGTCAATTATAGCTGTGACATCGTACAAGCTGTGGTGCATGTTATAATAAAATAAATATAGACTCATGGGAACTGGAATTGATCGAGGAAATCATAACATGTTCACATACACTCACAGAAGAAGAGAAAGATGGCAAACCCAATTGTCAAAAGTTCAGATCCTGTGTAGGTTGTCTTTGGTGAGTCCTCATATCTAGTTTCTAGTTTTAAAAGTGATGGTGTGCAGTTGCCATATGATGGTACACTTTTGAAAGATGGAATAGAAGAATCCTGTAAAGCCCTTATACATGTTGAGCAGAGATTTGAAGATACAAAAATAATCATTAAGAATATTCTCTTGGGATTCTAGAAAAGAAAAGCAGGCAATAGAAACCCCCACCTCCATTAATTAATCTTTTATTAGCAAAAAAATGAAAGATCAGGAAAACTACAAAACTAAATAAACCCATCGCTTATTAATAACATGCTAAGATCTACAAAAACATAAGAGAAGCAAAAAAACCAACATTTATCAAAATATAAATAGTGCTCAAAGGACATAGAGCTTCCAGACTGCAATATGATTGTCCTGTAAAGTCAAAGATACACTCAATACAAATAGCTATGACCAATCTGATACCAAATTGTTACACAGAAGGCGTAAGCAACATACTTCTAAACTAAATGTAGCCAAGATAAAAAGTTTGAGGTTGCATTAACGATGAAAGTCTCATATGGACCAAAAACCAGAGTGTTCATCAACAGAACTCATGACCTTTAGGCCTCCCTATGTTCAGTTACATATGCTCCATTGTATGGTAATCAAGGTATGCGCCATGGCACATGGCACGACAACGGGTACCTCGGCAGTCAGCAGACTAGAGAAAAGAAGCAAGCACCAAATGCACTTAGGTGTAACATTCTGTAAGATTTGCACCTTTAATAGAAAAAAAATGATAAGTTATGTTTTGTAGCCTCTTAGGGCCCTCTATTACTCCCTCAATCACAAATTAAATGCAACGTTTGACTTGGCATTTGGTTTATTAAAATCTTCGACTAATAATCAAATACCTAACAATGGCCCCAAATAACACAAAAAAATTAAAAACTTGTGAGCCACAACTAATCTCACCAAAAGCATGTAATGATTAAAAGAGGGGAAATGCATACATTTGAATTTGGATAACAAAATAGAAAGTTACCATTTTGGGGAAACCCAAAATACCAAGTGTTGCATTTTTTGTAACAAAAGGAGTATTATATGTTCTTAATTGAAATGCCTGTTGGAATTTCACCAACATAAGGTAATGATAACAAAGGAAACCCCACTAACCTTATGGCTTCATACTCGGTATTTTAACAACTAGCTACAGAATTGAAACTATGATTGTATCAACCTTTGTTTAGTCTCTGACAATTCAACTTCTCTGCTTCTCCTATCTTCTATTGATGTGTGCTTGTATCCATTCCTTTTCCTTTCAGTTTTCCATTCTATCACGATTGATGTCTTACCTTTGCTAAAAACTTCCAATCGACTCATATTTCTCCACTCATTTCCCTTTTTTATTATAACAAACACCGAGGTAAATGTCATTATGTTGTTGGTATTACATTTTTTATTTATTAACACATTACAAATTAAAAAAATTAACTTAAACTGTTAATTAGAGAAGTACTATCAATTTACCATAGAGGTCTTTTCTATTTTAATTAATAAAAAACCGCCAACTCTTCTAATTAATGTAAAATTGCTAAATGGAAGTGACTATCACACAAGTCATGTTTGGCTCTTGCATATATGTTATAGCTACATACACTTCACTTCTTTCCTCAGTATACTTTTCGTATTAGATATTTATGTTCTGAAAAATAGCCCACACTCTGCCATATGTTGTGGGACAGGGCTCATTTTCAGTTTGGCACCATGTTTGCACCATGCACCAAGCCTGCAACCATATGAGCTGGGTGGGAACATTTTTAGGGCTCACACCTGAACAGCAGTGGCAGAACAAACTTCACGGCTCATCAAAGACTCAAGCTCATAAACTATTTGTTTATATATGTGTTTATGTGTGTGCGCACCGTGATTTGTATAACATAGAAGCGCTTTTTGTTCTTTGTATAAGAAAAGAAAATATCCTTATAACTTTATACTCGTTCTAATCCTACTTAATAGATAGATTGTTACTTTGTTATCTCATAATCACATCTAATTAGACTTATCTGCTAAACCAGTACTTACTTCCAACCTCATAACAATGATCTAAATGTACTTTTTATTTACATAATCACATCTAATTAGTCTTATTTACATTTCATCTGAACTATACAATTTCCAAGCTGATAATATTGAGCTTGAGACAGCTAAAGATCAACTAGTATCATCACTGCCAAATTCATGCACCTTTAGTAAATATATTAGTTGATCAAGAATGTATTCCTCCATTAACTAAACATACTGAGACTGAGCAAGCATGAAAATGGCATTAACATGATCAGATATGTTGATCCCAATGGCAAACAATAAAAGCAATAAGGTCTAAAAATAGGGCAGAGCAACAGAATATACTGAAAATAGAATCAGAAAAGGATGGCATGGCAAGAAAGAACACAGGCTATCTATAAACGAAAACAACACCACCACACTGAATAGGTTCAAACATTACAAGTCCATGGTTGACCATACACAGAGATTCGCTCTTTTCGGAAACAGGACTCGTATACAGTTTAACACCATGAGCTTTTTCATCAGAAATACTTCTTGTGCAACCTAATATTGCACAATCCAGTAATCAATTTGCTTTTCCTTTTCTACGGAAAAATGAAATAAATTCACATCAATTTCAATTCATACAGTAATCTGTTTCTAAACAAAAAGATTAATCCACATAATTCAATATCAATGTCATCATCCCATTTCACCCATTCAAATACATCTTATTGACCTTAAACGAAAGAATGTCATCTCAGAACAAAGACCGCATAAAATTAGAATCTTGAAAACAAAAAACAAACAGAAAAGATCAATTAATGATTCTAAATCACAATAAACTTTGACTTAATTACTTACCACCTGAGAATCGGTGAAATTAGGGCAAAGCAGAGCTCGTTCGACAGTTGATCTCTGAGTTGAGAGAGAATCAGACATCAGAGCCTTAGCTAAGCGAGGTACGCTTGATCTGAATCTCCCAGCCATCGCCATCTTGATCGAACCTTAAACGAATCCACACACGGAGAAGAGGCAGATGGTGGCTTGAAACGGTGAGGACGTCAATCGAAGGATGGTGAAGAGTGGAGGCTTGCGTTTGGGTAAAAGGGCTTCCCTGGCAAGCCTCTTAACAAAAATAGCCATTTTACAGAATCGATCATCATAATCTACGAAATTACGTTTTGGTACCTCCGGTTTTCCACAATCAAACTACAATATCAACATACCCATAAACTAGAATACATACAACAATATCAATATTATTTTGATATATCTTTATTATGTAATAATACTAAGGGGCCGTTTATTAAGCGCTTACTCGGTAGGTGTTTATCGGAAAAAAAAATCACCGGACGAACATAGCAAGACCCAAAAATCTTACCTGACAAGAGCGGTGATAAGGATAGAGAGTCTTACCCGATAAGTGAGGATGACGACTCTTACTCGGGTAAGTGTTTACCATATATATTGTTGCATACGATACCATTTTAATATACTACAATCTTACCTATAAAATAAATTATAGTGTTGACTTCTAACGATAAGCATTTACAGGGTAAGTATTTAGGTAAAACAGCCCCTAAATGTTATCATTCATAATGGTTGGTTTAAATATTGAGTGGGAAAAGAAATAATTCATAATATTTGATTTTATGTTATGCAATCAATTATAAAACTGTTTTAAATAAGAATCTTTATTCTATCTCTTTAATCTTATCACCTCGACATCAACGCCTTAGTGCCATATCCACTTAGATCGTTGTTATCCCACTAGACCAGCTCATAGTCAGCAGACCATACCACCAGGGGCAGGACATAAGTCGTCTAACCCAGGGGGCCGAGTCGAGTTGAGTAGCAGATTGTTCAAATTCAACCTACATAAATAATAGGATTCCGCTTGACACAAGTTTGAATAACTTCTTCCAAGTAGGGCTCGAGCTCCAATATTTTTTCAAGGTTCAAGCTCAAGACTTGTTAACATTTGAGTTTTACATTATATCTACCATTCAAGTTTCATAAAACTCTTTATAGGCTCGAGTTCAATAACTTCTACATTTTGATTGAATGATTTTGGAACATATAGCATGTTTGTCCCGAAACTTTGTATGCTCAAATGGTTTGGCTTGACTCGAAAGTTTGAATCAAACTTTCAAACAAGGCGAGTCGAACATTGATGTTAGGCAGCTTGAATCAAACGTTAATAATTTTTATTTTATGTTCAAGATTGACTCAAGCTTTAAGTAACTGGTTAAAAGAGTGTGAGTCATTAACACCACTATGAAAAATATTCCAAAAATCTAATATAATAATTGTAAGAGCATCTCTGGTGTGCTAGAATCGTAAGTGTGCACACAGTGGGCACAAAGTCCCCAAAGTGGCGGTGCAAGTGCACGCCGACACTATGATCGCTTCAAGTAATAGAGTGGTATAGTACCAAGATCGTTTCCACAGGGACTAGACTTACTAAGAAACAGAGACTTTCATGAACTTCCTGAACATGCTTCGGGTTGAGAAAATGTTAGAGTTTTGATTGGTGCAAAGCGAAATAAACCTTTAATATTAAAAGATGGGTATATGTGTAAGCTTTATTTAAGAATATTACAGGAATAGTTTGGTCAGAAACTCATGGGACTTCTATAAGAACTCTTATCTCTCGAAAGTGAATTCTTATATACTGTGCCCACAGAGTGCCCACAAAGCGTCCAATTTTATCAATCTTAAACTTGCCGAATTAGCTAATAGATAAAAAGATATATGGTTCCACTAGCCTGAAGATTTATACTCACAATGTATTGTAGTATAAACTCGACTAATATATGAACATTAGCTAAAAACATGCAAAACTCGCATCTCTGCGTGATTATCAAAGACTTTCTCAAATCTTTGTGCATCATCTAAGCCGTATTTCAGATCCGCCTATCTCTGGATCAAGGATCTAATATTAACACTTCAAAGTGATCAGCTTATCTGCGTTGAGGTTAAGTCCCGACTTAAATGACCAAGCTTAAGAATCAATAAAAATGGCAACACCCAAGTGTGCATTTAAATTCTTAAGTTTGACTCACACCCACACCCAAATGGGTGCTTAGCTCATAATAAAATTAGAAAACATAGAGGAAACAGAAGAAGAAAAATGCATAAGAAATACTTGAACTGAAATTTTACTTAAATTGTTGCCCACAGAGGGCATACAATACACAGTGGCGAGAATTAAAGACTAACTACGAAAATAAAATTACAAGCAGAAATTAAACTTGCTCTACTGCTGTAGAGCTTGAGAGAATGCTCCAAGGTTGCTTAACTAAATTGTTGATGGAGTGGATGTCTTCCAAATGAGAGAAAGTCTTCAATATATAGGAAAAAGTGAGGACCGGACAAACTCTTCGCCCAAAGGAAGAAAATCTTCATCATCTAGAATGTAAGGACCTCCCATCACCACATGTCTACTTTTTCTGGTCTAGTCACTTTTTCTTAAAAGGTTGCAAAAGGTAAAGCTACCTAACCATTAAAATAATGAAAAGGTAAAGAAGACTTTTTCATTAAAATAATGGTACGAGTATTTTTTTTTTTTTTTGACATTTTATAACTCAACCAGGCTCATTCTTCTAAGTAACTCAATATTTTTGGATATGAACTCATAATTAAATCTCATTAATACCCAAGAGAGTCAATATTTGAATTTTGTTCAAATCCAACTAGATGAAAATACGCCATATGATGAATGCGAGCAGAAAGTGGGCAGTTTACCAACAGCAATGAGTTTTTTAGAAAATAATTAAATTATTGACCTTTCATCACCTCTTAACATATTTTGGACCAAAAATACAGGATAAGAGCAAAATGGGTACCAAAGACACAATAAAATAAGGGTATTGAACAACAAATAACTCTCACAAATTGAGAGTTATCAATCTCCGATAACCTTTTTAAAATAGAATAAAAAATCAACCTTTTGTTTTCTATAATACTCCAACGACTTCTCTTTAATATTCTCTAAAATAGAGAAAAACATGAAAAAGAAAACTCTTTAAACTTGATTTTAAGAGAGAGAAATGATTATTTTATTCAACTTCACCAATGAGATTGAATTATTATTATTTTATATAAAGTTTTTTTTTAAAGTTTATTGGGATGATAAATTAGAGAATATTATAATAAATATAATTTTTGTTAAAATCACTAAAATAGAGAATTTGTTGGAGAGAAATGTAATTTTTTTTTGAAAATTTTTACTTTTGATTCTCTATTTTAGAGAAATCATAGAGAATCTGTTGGAGATGCTCTAAGTATTCGCGTAAGAGGTTTCATTTAGGAACCAAAAAAATTGTGATAACCTTAAGAACCAGTGCATTATGTGTCATTCCACATGATTTTTAGAAGTAAATTATGCACAAGTACAACTTATAAAAGCTCCATATTTGAATTCGTGTAACTAATTACGGATAAACATAATCAAATAGAGAAAAAACATCTCATTTTAAAATATAAAAAATCTAAAATATAATTAAGATAATTATCAAGTTTGAACAAGATAATTAATTATTATCTTTATAAGAAAATTATATTATTAAACCAAATATAAATTATTGCGTTATTAAATTAAAAATTACACAAATAAGTGAGGAATTTTAAATACTTAATTTGATATTAATATCGTATTATTTTTTGTCAAATTTTTATGATATTTTCAAATTAATATTTTATTAAAAAATAGAAATATTATCGATTTTCCAAAATCACATAAGATTATATAATAAAATCGACCAAGATAAATAATAAAATGAAATATTAAAATCAAGATGTATCTCGCTGCATTGCGCGAGTACCCTTCTAGTATTTTATAATGCGTTTGTTTCACAATGTGAATTTTTTTTATGTATTTATGAAACAAAAAGTACAACTAACAAGTGTGAATCTAATACATATGAAACAAACACATTATAAAACAAGTACATATTAATCAATATATTAAATTTTATCCTTAGATGAAAAAAATCATGTGAAAAAAAATACCTTACAATAATATTTCTAACAGTTATCACAATACATGAGTTTTCAAATAATTAAACCACATCATGTACAAATTGAATAAAGATGCATCAAAATTTGTATACCTTCAAATTACTCTTTACACAAATACTAATATCGTAAGTATTTCAAAGATGACGTTCAACTTTACTACGTCTATGTTAGCAAGCAAGCCAAACAAAGTTATGTTAAAACTACATTTCAGTAACGTTCTTCATTATCAATAATGAAACCTCGAGACCAACTTCATTCTTTGCTAAATGAAATGTCAAACAATTTTATACCAACTTCGAAATAAGCTTCGCTTTTCTTTTGATGAAGTGTTTTGATGCTACTGAAACTGTATATATATTGGTTTTCTTAACATATCTGCCTCTTTGGTGAATAACGTTCAATCAGTTAATTATTACACTACTAGAAAACTGAGCATTTCCGGCCATCCGTCGGTAAATTACCGGCGGATTTCCGGCGGACACTAAAAAAGTCAACATTTTATTGACTTTCAATGATTTCCGGCGGATTTCTTAATTACTCATTTTAATCTTGAATTTACAACATTTTACCGGCGGATTTCCGGCGGATTTTTTTAATTTTTTCCTAAAAAAAAGAGTAAGCAATTTTCCGGCGGAAACAAATAAATTTTTTAAAATTTTTAACATTTCCGGCGGATTTCCGGCGGAAAATTAAAAATAATTAAAAAAAAAGAGTAAACAATTTTCCGGCGGATTTCCGGCGGACACTAAAAAAATCAACATTTTATTGACTTTCAACGATCGGTGGATTTCTTAATTACTCATTTTAATCTTGAATTTACAACATTTTACCGGCGGATTTCCGGCGGATTTTTTTAATTTTTTCCTAAAAAAAAGAGTAAACAATTTTCCGGCGGAAAAAAAAAATAATTTTTTTAAAATTTTTAACATTTCCGGCGGATTTCTGGCGGATAATTAAATATTTAAAAAAAATATAACCATTTCCGGCTGATTTCCGGCGGAAAATTAAAAAAAAAGAGTAATCAATTTTCCGGCGGATTTCCGGCGGAAAAATAAATATTTAAAAAAAAAAAATAACATT